TATATAGATATACCCTTATGTCTGTTTTTAATATTTGCTCCCTAACAGGTGGGCCAATATAAACAAAACTTTGCATAAACATCAGAATTAGAATCAAAATTACGTTTATTGCCAAGTTTGTTCACAAACAAGGAATTTGTCTCGGTGTCTTGCTGCAAGAAATATCATCCAACACCAATTATTACCATCTGTATGTTTAAAAAAAAAAAAAAACAAACATTTGTTATATATCCATTTATTATATTTATTATATGTTCATCATCCCTCTGCGGATGGATTGTTTTACACGTCACATTCAGTGCACATTGCATGTGCATAACCCAACTGTCACAAAAACGACCCATTTTGCTACTTCCACTACTATTACTTTTACTACTAGTACTATTACTTCAACTCAAACTACTACTACTACTAATAATAATAATAATTACAATAATGACGACATTAAAAATAACTTGTAATAATAATAATAGGGCAGCACAGTGGCTGCCAGAATGCTATTTTGGATTGTTCTGGCCCACTTTAACGCTTGCTCACACAAATACTGCCTTCAAGCAATAAAGATCATTTTCAACCCCTTTGTACAAGAACATAGAAAGAGATTATCACTTACTTATCACTTAATTTAACTTGTTGCTCATTGGTTATGTATGCTGGGCTTTAATTACAGGTCCTGACTGATCCTTGTATAGTTGCACATGAAAGCAGATGAATGTTTGTCTTATGCTTAGTGTGGCTTATGTGTGTGTGTCTTTAATTACAGGCAATGACCGATGACAGAATTCTTACACCTGATAAACAAGCAAGAGCAGAGATGACAGCAAGACCGTACCAGAGCAAGACCAGAACTTTTATCCACATAGGTGAGAAAAATCCTGAAGAAGCATTGCATCAAGTAAAAGTATAAAGATTGTTACTGTAGGTAAAAGTTGAAGTATACTGTGTGAAACAGGCACTAAAAGATGTGTTCAAACTAAAGCATTTATTGAAACATATTTGCAGGTGTGGATGCAGCTGAGCTGAAAATAGGAGACAATCTAAAAATCAACCTCAATCTCAACCAGCAGCCAAATCAAAATCATGACATCACATATCTGGTAAGAGACATATTTATTTGTTTTTGTATATATAGCTATTTTTTCTGTGATGCAACAACTGGTCATAGTACATACATGTGCGCTTAAGGTGTTAGGTATTAATGTGTAAATGTGTTTCCCCAGATCCAGAGCAGAGGTCAGCTAGTGAAACATGGCCGTTATAAGACAAGAGGCCAAGTACTGATTTCCCTGATACAACCAATCACCAAAGAAATGCTGCCATCGTTCCGCATCATAGCCTACTATCATACAAGTTCAAATGAAGTGGTATCA